GTTTCATTCATCAACACAGAAACCAGTTAATCGAGAAGATAACATTTCTACCTTTGCATGTTGTCTTGTTTTCTGATTGGTACCACAAAATGATCAACTTGGTTTTTTGAGACTTTAAAGACTTTGTGGTAAGCTTGTTCAATCAAAGTTTCATGTCCCTTAAAAAATATCTCAAGTCAAGTTATTTCTTTTGGAAGAGAAGATTTTGACCCGTTTGATCATCCAAATATGTATTTTATTTTTATTTTTCATTTGTTTGGTCTTTATACCATTTTTCAGACCTACTTGGTTTTGGCGATTTTTGTTTCTCTTAAGAAAAAGCTCATAGATGGAGGCATGTAAATCATTCAGACACAAACAGTAGTAAGTTGTTTTATTTTCTGATTTGGAATCAGGTATCAGCACATCCAAGACCTCATTCCTTTCTTCAAGTGTAAGTTAGGAGAGTTTGGGTCGGCATTGGAAAGCCTCTTTCCCCCAGTAAACCCCCCCGCCTCCCGCTTCACTCCGGCCATTTTCCTCCTCTTCCTCCGGATATTTGAGACGGCGACAGCACCAAGGCTGACGGTCAGCCAGCTGGAGCAGCTCTGCTTCTCTGAGGCATCCTGGGAACCGATTAAAGGTCAGAAAAGGATTGTTTGTTTTGAATAAAATGTGAAGAGGAATGGTTTTAACACGTCTCCTGTGTGTAGATGCTGTGCCACTGAAGAGGTCTGAGCTGGTGAAGTTTGCTCTCAAAGCCCAGAGATGCTCCTTGTCGGTCTACTCAGATGTAAGTCTGCAGCTCCTATTTCTGATGAAATGTTTCATGAATATCTGGCGTATCGCTATGCTAAAAGAAAACACTCTCCAGTTGTCGTGGTTCACGAGACAGAAAAACACAAGTTAATTATATCTTCAAGTGTAAAAACTTTAATTTAAACTATGATTAAAAGGAATAGAGAAGCTGTGTGGGGGGGGGAAACAAAGTTTACCATTTTCCTAATAGTTAGAACGACCTTTACCATCACTAACTCTTGTTTGATTTTATCTGAATAAAATTTGATTGAATTTTAGCCCAAATTTCTTTAAAAAAAAAAAACATTTCTTTATTTCATTGAGATTAGCATGCACTGATTTTTAAATGACCTTTTTTTTAAGCTTATTGTCTTCTTGACTCTAGAACTCTAGAGTTCAGGTTAACTGTAACTAAGGCCTGTAGCGTCCAGCTGGAGTTCCCAGGTCTTCAGCTCTTCTGCACCTTGTGGTGCTTTTTCTGGAAAGGTCTCTCCTGGAAAGGCTGACTGAAATGTTTTATGCTTGTAAAAATACTCAACTGTTGTAAAGTGGCCTGATGGGGGCGCCACATGGCTCAGTGACAAAGCCGTTTTTCTCGTTTGATTCCCAGCTCCGGCCGCTTTCTGCATGTCTTTCTCTTCACTGTCTGCCACTAGAGGCAACAAAACCTTAAAAATGGGGGAAGAAAAAAAAAACTGTTCTGAGGACAAAGCTTAGAAGAATACCTATAAAAACAAAACAAGAACCAAAAATGTTTTTGGACAATGAGATCAGAAAACATGAACCTACTTTCCTGGAGTCATCCAGAGTCTCAAACACCTTAACCAAACAACCAGGACTGAAAACATTAGTGTACTGCAGATTTTCTGTAAACTTGTTTTATAAGTTCCTTTTTGTCATTTAACTTTTCTTCATCATTGAATTTGTAGTAAATATTTCTTTTTATATGATGACTCTTTCTCTTATTATTATTTTTTCTGTATTGTAGCCTTCTCCTGCTCTGCATCAGTTCCTTTATTGTAGTGAAAAGCAGCTTGACCTTGTGTTGACCTAAGTAATGTCCCAGGGCATTACTTAGTGTTTCACATACAGATTTTCCAACTTTGCTTTATTTTTTTGTGGAAAGAAATGACTAACCCTAATATGTCTTGTATTTATATCCTATAAACTGTGGCAAGGCTGCGTGTTGGACAGTTTGACTGATTTGTGTCCGATTCTCTCCTGCAGCCTGAGTGTTGGGCCAGTTTACTGAAAGTGGTCTGCTCTCCTCATGGCTCTCCGACTGCCCTGCCCATACCCAGCCAACAGTTTCTATACGTATGTTCTTCAGTTTTAATAATTGCTCCTGAGACTCGAGATCTGCTATCGATTAATGCTAATTGTCTGAAGTTTATCCGTCTTATTCCTGATGGTCCAGGAGTCGCGGGATGCCGTCATAGACCAGCTCAACCAGCAGGGTTACAACATACAGATTTCCCGCTGCTTTCTCAGGGTAAGTTTGCAAAGATATCCGTATTAAATATGTGACTCATTCATACTGCTGTGGTAACGGGTCGTGTGCTTTTGTCCACAGACATACCCAGATCAGGCCTTGTTGCTGTTGGTAACAGGAGCCTTGGGTGTCAGAATCCTTCAGGGTTCTTTTAGTCCAGCTCTGCCTGTTCTCAATGCTTATAAGGTAATATCTCCCCATATGAAAGCAACGTGCGCTTGTTGCTGTTGACGGTGTGACTGGCCTCCGGTCGGCACTAGCAGCTGAACACAGACAACAGGAAGCCTATGATAACCAGAGCTTATTGTTGCTTTAGATTAGGTTTTGTAGGAAGCTGATGATTTGATTAGCATTTTTATGCTAAACTTTTAGGATGATTCACACTGACCTGTTTTTATTTTTATTTATTTTTGATTGCAGCTGTTTAATATAAAAGCTACATTTTAAAATATCCATTTGACAAACATTATATAATTAATTTTGGGGCAAATGCAGAAAATACATTTAAGATAATATTCCTATGTGACTTATAAGTCTGAACTATTATTAAAACTTGATGTAAGAAAACATTGTATTTATTTTTTAAACTGAAGCGTGTTAACTAACCATTTTGGTTTTTGGGTTTGATTCCGTGTTGCAGGACAACCTGTGGGCCTTTCAGTGGCTGTGTGACGGCATGACGTCCAGTCAAGACCGTCTCCACTCCTTCCTGAAGGAGATTACACAGAAGCCGTCAAACACACCAGGTATGAGGACATGTTGTCATGGCGATGAGCCAGAGCTCTGTCCTGGGCCTCAAGTCAAATATGTTTACAGCTGGCTGCAGTGCAGTCCATGTTGGCTAATTATTGAAGTACCACAGATTCAGAAAACATTTTCAATAAAATCATGTTCAGATACAAATATTGAAATTTAGAGTTTTTGTTTGTTTTTCCCTTTAGCCCGACAACTCAGACTGAATATATAATCTATAATCTGCATTGGTAATAAAAAAATCATTAGTTGTGTTGAGCGATTTTATTTATTTTTTTCTTTCCTTCTGAAGCAAAATACATATGTCATTGTTTGATAGGCATGTTTTTCTATTGTTTTCTATCATTTGAAATGGTCGTTGTAGTTATCATTTATTACTGTCATCAGATTCATTCTGACTTTTATGGTTGGGTTTATCCTTTTTGGGGGGTTTTTGTGGTGGAATACCCCTTAAAACTTTGACTTTGCCTGTGTCATCCCGATGATCCAGTCTGATTCAAATATAGTTTTCGTTATTGTAATGGATATCATAAACCTTCAGCTCAACATGGAGGTTATCAATGTTCTTATCAGTGATGAACAGAGCTCAACAGCAGAGACCTGCCTGGAGCTGGAGGCCAGCGGCCCAGATCCTGGTCCTGACCGCTCAGTCTGTGTGGTGTGTGCTCATGGTGCACATGTGAGTGGACACAGCTGTTTGTGTGCTGGAGCATATTGTTGACGGATTCAGTTCCTAAGAAGGAATTTCCCTTTTCAAATTCTGAGCATGTTTTCACAGTGAAATTTCAAAGTGAAATTTTTGTTTGGAAGAAAAATACTGTATGTGTTTTTGAGCTGTACAGTTTATAAAAAGGCAAAAAGAAGTGAACCAGCTTCTGTTGCAGCCTGCTTGTGTTCTTTTCCCCAATAATCTCTTCTCTTTGTCTTTTAACTCTGCAGGAAATCAGCTGGTCGTTGATTTCAAGTAAAGTTTCCTTCAGAGGTTCAGCTCTGAAGCTCTAAAGTCTCACCTGGATGATCTGCCTGCTGAGGACACTTCTTCCGAAAAGGACTGTTTTTTTTTCTTCTTCTTCTTTTTTTATCTCAATGTGAAGCCATGTGGGACTTGTGTTGTATTTCTTGCTTACTTTAAGTACCATGACAGTAACGCTGAGCAACAGTAAGATTCTGCTGTCATGTGCTTTACATTTGAACCTCTTTCTGCGGCGCAGTGGATGGTAGGAATGTGCATCAGTTGACACACAGAGGGAGAGAACTCTTTACTCTTTCACCATTTATTAAGCTAAACAATTCCCTCAATTCTCTTAATGTAATTTAATGAAACTGGTTTTTGATGTGCTGTACAATAACACTGGTTTTAGACCATAACATATGTTGCTTTATACAGTTTGAAAATCAGTCAACTATTTAAAAAACAATTTAGACAAAGCTTAAAAGATAACTTTAAAAATTAACTTTAGAACAGACTAATACTGAAATTAAAAGTTCCTATGCAGCAAAAAGATCAGTTCAGATGGAAAAATAATTTCCATACTTTATTTTCTGTCTCATTAATGTATTCATCCATTTGACTGTTTGTTTTTTCTACTTTCATATTTAAAACCTTGTTCCATGTTGTACAGTAGTATTGAATCTACTTTAAAGATCAACCAAATATTTGCCGAGTGCAGCTAAAGTGGACATGAATTCTGTTTCTGTTCCTGTATAATGATTTTCTTTCATGTTCATAAGGATTCGTACTGCCATCAGTGTTAATGATTTCTGAGATAATCTGGTTTAATAAATGACTCCAGTGTTTGGCCTTTTTTTTTCTCTGACTTTATTTTCAAAGTAATCATCCACAATAGAATATATCACATTTATTACATATACAAATAAAATATGTTCAAGTAATTTTGCATTCTTTAGCTGCGGTTTGATTTTTAAGGCCAAAGTAATGTTAATATATTAATAGGTTAAAACTTTTACAGTCAAAATTTGGCTAATTCTTCAAAGTGGAAAATTTTCAGTCATTGTTAGAAAAAGTTTATTTTATGCATTAAAGTTAGGAAGCACAACACTTATGCGGATGCAAGTTGCTGACAGTCAGTGCTAAAAAAATGTCTTAAAAATAAACCCTCAGTTTTAGGATTCCCTATGCTCTGGATTTGATTAAATAAATCTGGAAAATGTTACAGATTTGAGGTTTTCTCTGATTCACTTTTACATTGCCTATAGTCATGACATTTATACTTAGGGGTGCATAGTTTGACTAGATTAAATGATCAAAATGACAAAAAGATTTTTGTTCTGAAAAAAAGGAAATTAGTCAAAAACAAGCAGAAGTCACAGTGCCAGACTAACTGAAACCATACGGTGTACAGGTTATCTTTGCATTGGCTTATTTATTGATATGTATGAATTTATGATGGAGGTATAATTTAATTTTGATGGACTGGCGACCTGTTCAGGGTAGAGGTCTGCACCAGCTCCTTCATGTCCACCTCCAGGTCAAGCTGATGGGTGGAGACAGTTAACATTCATTTTCGTTTGAGTCTTAAATGTGCTCATATTTATATTAATTTGAACAATCCTTTGTGCACATACAGCAGCTGCTAATTACAACTAAGGCATTGTATGGACTCGGAGGGCAGGTACCAAAATAAAAGCATCCTGTGAATCTGCTCTGCTCCTCAGTCTGTTTATGTCGGATATGTGTTCCTGTGAAGCTGCACTGAGCTGTAGGAAAACCTGAAAGGCGGCGGTCCGTGTCTGGTGTGCCGCTGTGTGATCAGGTCAGTCAGAAAGTGCATCACTTGAAAATCATTTTCACTGCAGCAGAGTTGTGGTGCTTGCTGCGAGTCCTTTTCCTCGGCGATGGCTCTGTAACGCTGGGAAGCAGCGGTGAAGGTCTGCAGCAGCACCCGGTTGGCCAGCGCAGTCAGGCAGCTCTCCAGGTGCAGCAGGTAGGTCAGGCCGCGGCTGATGCCGGTGTGAGGGCTGGCTAGGAAGCCGGCCAGGGATCCGGCGTATGAAGGACAGCGCAGCGTCTTCTGATCCAGGTCCAGCACTGCGATGTAACGACTCAAGTGAGTCAGAGACTGCAGGATGGAAGAGGATGCACTGGAAGATGATCTGGAGAAGAAAACCAAGCAGGATCTTATGACATATAAAGGTATGAAGTTCTTGCAGATGAAACTTTGCCTCTGAATTGACTCACCTATTTAAATGTTTTCTCCGGTGCAACAATAGTTACTGACCTCCTTATATGCACACACATACAAAAGTTTCATGCAGTTTAAAAGCTGCTATTTGTCTAAGAAAGGTCAGCTTTATCTGGTCATGAATACCTGAATTAACAAATTTGTGTGGAAGGACTTAAGAAGGATTACAAAATCTTCTAAATGCATTGATTGGTACTAGAGGTGCACCAATTTATGAGCGCCAGTTTCCTTAATTTTGGGAGATCGGTGATCGGCCGATTCTTCCATGAGAAGTTGATCTTATTCTCTGATCTTATCTGTTTCAACAAAGGTCTAAAAATCAGCTGCTGTCTTCTTCTGCTCTCCTGTTAGAGGTTTGACTGTTAGATCGGCCACCAGCTCATGTCTGCACGTCATCCTCACTACTGGCAACTTTCTTGCTATATTTAACAACATTTCAGACAAAATAAATTGCTACTGTTTTGTCGACGTGTCAAGCTTTATAAAGATTGATAATTGGCCAGAAAACTGCAATCGGTGCAGCCTTAGTTTATATCAAAAACTTCTGGGACAGGACACATATTGTCTCCTGACAATATGTGTTACTGTGACAGGCAGCACCAAACCACAAGAGGCAGGAGGAATTAATAATGTCAACAAACCAATGCAGAGATATGGTCGAGTCACATAACAGTCACCTGTGTATTCCTATGAGCCTCCAGGTGAGCAGGTCGGTCAGCTGGAGGGGCGTGGCCAAACATGACATCACAGCGCTCCCATCAGCACCAGGTGCTGGCAGGAAGAGCCTCAAGCCGTCCACCAGCTTCCTCACCAGCTGCTCGTCTCCTCCGATGACAACCAGTGGCCGGCCAATCAGCAAACAGAAGATGGCATGCTGGGAGAAGGAGAGCTGCTTGATGAACCTGAGGGCTCGCAGGCCAGCCCTTCTCCTCTTCCTTTTCTTGTCCACACATGTGCTGGTGAGGTTGGCTGTGGTGGGAGACGGTGGCTCTGAGCTGCTGGTGAAGCTGGTGCAGTCAGAGAACTCGTCCACGCTGAGCAGCCTCACAGGAGCGCAGGGCAGCGTGCGCAGAGCTCCCTCCGCCACGACGCTTTTAGGAGCCATTTTTACATGGAGGTCAAACACCGGCCTCAACTTCTTCTGCCTCGACTCCACTGCGTCTCCAGCTGTGTGGAAACAGATTCATCACATGATTACAGCAAAGAAAACCGGTAAGCTTTTTAGTACAGACCGGACTCAGGAGTTGGAGGGCTGATGCCAGCAGAACCACGCACTCCACAGTTTATGTCAGGTACAGGAGCTGGGAGGTAAAATCATCAAAAACCTTTTGAAAGATCTTGAAGTCCAAAAATCTCTTAAAAGATTACAGGAAGACCTGACTGCCTGGGATAAAATAGTCATATATGTTGTTAAATGTACAGTAAATGTGTTACCTTGTAGCAGTTTATTCATCTTGTCTTTATGGACTTCGTTACTCTTCTCTGTGAGTGAATTGTCTTTCTCTGGAACATTGAACATTATTTCCTCTAAAAGTTCTTTTCTTCCAGCAGATTCAGCTCTTTCCTTCCCGGCAGTAGCAGTGTTCTTCATCCTCTCCTCCTTGAGGACTTCATCAGTCTTACAGCCAGCCTCTGACTCTTCCTCTTCCTCAAATCCATTGGTCAGAGTGTGATGCTCTGCCTCTTCCTCTGTGATGGCAGACAGGTCGTCAGGGACGATGGACTCAGTCGTGCTGAGAACCTCGATGCTGTCCTCACTGTTGGCACGCCTGGCGGAGGCTCGCAGGCGCCGAATGCCTGCGTCTCCTGCTGCATGCTGGAGAATCACGTCTGTCGTCCCGACACGGGTTTCTGTGGAGAACACAAACTACTGAACCGACTGTTTTCAATCAGATCATTGCTGCAATAAAACACAGAGATCTAAATGGATCATTTTGGAAGTTTAATTACTTGATAAATTGCTAAAAGGCATAGTTTGAATTATTTTCAGATGTGCTTCTGTACCACTCTGCTGAGAAAACAAGGCACAGATCATTAACTGTACAATAGAAACGAGATGGAAACAACACAATAAACTGTTATCTACTTGATCTATGGAAAAGTCTAAATGTCCCATTTAAAAATCCATCCATCCATCCATCCATCCATCCATCCATCCATCCATCCATCCATCCATCCATCCATCCATCCATCACACTTATCCCTAGGGGGATCCTAAGGGTGCTGGTGCGGTCAACAGGGGGTCACCCTGGACAGGTCACCAGTCCATCACAGGGCAACACAGGGACAGATAGAACGAACAATCACACAAACACACACCTACGGATAAATCAGAGAGACCAGTCAACCTGACAGTCATGTCTTTGAACTGTGGGAGGAAGCCGGAGTACCTGGAGAGAATTAACACAGGCACAGGAAGAACATGTGGACTCCATGCAGAAAGACCCCGCGCCGGGAATCGACTCCATTTAGCACTACAGGCTGGATAGTTTCAGAAAACCTGCCTAGAGTCAGAGACTGATGCTGCTTCATATCAGACTGACTCGTCTCTGAAATATGATTTTTGACTAAACAGTTTATCATGTAAAATGCTTGATGACAGCCCAGAAAATTAGAACATCTATTCTTGATTGATAAAAGTCACAATCAATCATGCAGATATTAAAGATACCATCAGGTGGCGTATCATTTCCACTGACATGTAATGCAGATGAGGTATTAAGTATAGACTTCATCACCCAGGATTTTAAAATCCAGTTTTTGAAAAGCAACATTGAAGAATGTTAAATGTTATAACACAATGCTAAACAGCTAATTGTGTCTTGTGTACATTTGGATTGATGACATCACAAGAGGCATGGGACTTGAGATTCTGTCAAACAAACAGCTTCTGAAACATTGTGACAGTCTGAAGCGTCACAATCAGGAATTATTGACTTAAAACAAGCACATATTTATTGCTGAAAATATGTTAAGTTACTTTTATCATATCCCAAGTGTGCTAAGATATTTGCACTAGAAATTAGACTAAAACTACTTGGTAAGGTTCTATGTTTTAGCAGTGTAGCTGCTGAAATGAAAATACTCATTAAAGTTTCTCCAAAAGGCCAGGAGAAAATCTTTTGTACCGTTTAGAGACGCAGGTTTTTGTTTTCCTTCCACCATCACTCTAATAACGTACCTCTGCTGTCGGATACAATGGCCCATTGACTTCGGTACGACTTCTCCGTCCCGAGAACCTCAATGCTGTCGCTGCTGCTCACGCTGCCCATCATGTCTGTGGACGTGCTGGGGTCAGGGGTCACTCTCCCACCTCCCACTCCCTCCATCTTTATCTGTATTTCTTCCACACAGGAGAATAACTCCACACTATGCTTTTCTGACTGTCTTTCCACAGCTCCCACAGTGTTCCCCATGACCCTCTCTGCTTCATCCTCCTCCTCTTCCTCCTCAGCATCCACAGGGCAGCACAGCTCAAACAGGAAGTTTGTAAGTTTCAGCTTCCTGGACAGTAGCTGTGAGACACGATCAGTTCGCAGGACGCTCCTGTCACCACGCAGACGCCGCTCCGTGTCTGCCAGCTGGTTTTTCACCAGGGACAGGAAGTAGAAGTTGCAGAGCTCCTCCAGTGGCTTCAGAAGCGACTCAGACCTGCAGGAGGCAGTGGAGGGAAGGCAGGGAGAGGACGGCTCAGACTGCAGGTCGGCCGTGTCATAGGGCAGGAAGTCAGGCTGCTGGAGCTTCCTGTTTGGGTAGGATGTGACCTGGCGAAGGAGCTCTCTGTGGTTCAGGATCAGATGCTCTAAAGCTTCAAGCTCATCAGCTCTGCCTCCTGCTCCTGTGGAGGCGTGTGTGTCCTGCAGCAGGGCCCTCCGTCTGTACCTGCAGCGGTCAGAGGGATTCTTCAGTCAACTCACAATTCCTCACTATTCAGAATTTTATCTCACACTTTGTTCTGAGAAATCAGATAAGCAGGTTTTCTGCACATTTGCTACACCTTCAACTCCATACGTCTTAGTTTTTTTTATCTCTCAAAAAGAACAGAATAAAATCAGAAAACATTAATGTATTTTCCATATCCAGGCTGCAAAAACATCAGAATGAGAGATTTAACCCTGAATGCTTTTTCTGAGACAGATCTAGCAAATATGAAAATATATATCTGAATATTTAGTGTTCAACAACTAATTAGACAGAAAACTTTTTAATTTGTACTTTTATCTTCTTCTTCCTGCTTCCTTTAAGTGTAACAACAGGATCATCTCACTCTGTTCCTTCTACTACACACATTTATCCTCCGTTGTGGACTTTTTTTCTCTTTTCCATCATATTTTCTGTCCTCCCTCTGCACATGCTCAGAATCTGATCAAATCTTGCTCAACCTGAGCTAACTAAACCTTTTTAACTCCTGACCTTGTATTGTGGCACCATTTACAACCAAAACACTGCAGTCTGACTCCTCAACCTGAAACCTGCAGGAATCCTTCATGTCTTGCTTCTCATTCATCCACATAATCTGTCTTCTTTCTATTGGCACTGCTAATTTGAAATGTGTCAACACAAACCGTTATAAAGAATTACTGCCACATAAATAAATTTATTTGAATCAATTGAACTAATTCGACAAAAACACTTTACATCTTTATCAGGCTGAACTGTGCCTGGAACCGTTTTGGGGTTGTTAGAAAATATGAACAATTACTCTTAGCTCCAAGATTTCTACAGATATTCCCATTCAAAATTCCAGATTTGTCCAGCATTTTGATAACATTCCAGACATTTGAGGACAAAACATTTAGTTGTTATAATCAGTGTATTATCAGACCGTAAACAGAGATATCTTTAAAGCTTCTGATGTGATACATTTATTTTGTTTGTAAAAAGAACACAGGTCTGGTTTAAGTAAAAGTAGGGAAATGATCTGGTTAGATTTTTTAGTGAGTGGAAGTTTTCTGTAACTAAACAAAAAAAAAATAAAAAAACATGATCTATTAGTTAAAAAGAGTTGAAAATTGTGTAATGAAGGATGCCATCCAAATACAAAACATCGAAATAACATTTTCTTTTTTTGTTAACAGAAGCAAAAAGGATCTGTTGAAAATTTAACACATTTTTCAATTTCATCCCGTTGTGGAAAAGACTCACAACAGGGCTCCGAGATTTTCACACGTTTCAAGGCCCTGATTTTCTCTGGTGAACAGACAGACAGTTCTGCTGTACCTTAACCCTCACAGACATTAATATGCTGCAGAACATTTGAAAAAAATGGCAAATTTACCAACATAATGACAGCCAATTCTGATTGGCTGTCATTATGTGTGGAATAGAAGGATGTGGTTGTAGGAATGTTGCATTCTTTGTTTGACGGTAAACCACTTAATGAGGAAATTGGAATATTATTTAATAATTAAAAATAATTCCTCTTTTCATCATTGACTAAGATGAATTTTACTACTAACAGCAAAGTCTGTTTTTGAAAGTCTTCTTTATGCAATTTGTTCCAGTCAGCTTCCAGACTAATTTATTCAAAATGAATTGGTAACGTCCTGGTTTAATGCAACAATCCCAAAAAGCTGAAACAGCTGGTTCTTTAATTACTACAAACAAACAAAGAGGAACTTACTCGAGCTCCTGCAGCTTTCTCTGCAATTCAGAGGAGAACGCTTGTCTGTTTCCAGTCTTCAAGCTGTCAGAGGCCTGAGAAAAACACTCGGACAGCTCAGAGAAGTTCTCCATCAGCTTTCTCTGGTCCGAACACACGTAGGCCATGCAGAAAGGTCGCACCATCCCCCGAGCCTCCAGGTCATACAGGGTCAGGTGATGAACATACGCAAACGAGTCGTCTGCTGAGTCTCCCAGGATTACCCTGGAGTCCTCGCTGAAATTGAGGCGGGGTCCAGACAGAGCAGGGGAGGTGTGACCCGGGCCGGACGCCTGGTAGTCCACAGACATAATGCGGACGGAGAAGTGGTTGAGGTCAAACGAGCCGATGATCTTCGGATTATTTGGTATTGTTAAGACAGGCTTTGGACCAACCTGGAAGACAGAAGAGGAGGATGTATCCAATTTATCACTGAGAGCAACAGATATCTAGATTCTTTTCTGAAAAAAGTGACTTGGTCTGCTTTTCCATTTACGTCACAACCAACACCACCTGTCTGGATGGTAAGTTTTAAAGATTTAATGACCTGCTGCATTCTGCATGAACAAACAGGCTCAAACTGTTTTTTGTTTTACCTTTTACCCTAAACCTGTACTGATTCTTAACTATAAGCTCCACTGCTGTTGAGTAACAGAAGGATTTTGTTTCTTTTCTGATTTTCACTATAGCCATATGGCGATTCTATATCTAACATTATAATGTACTGTTAAATTATGTTGATGATGAGGTTCAGCTAAAAGCACAAAAAAGTTAATAAAGTTTGGTATTGAGTGAAGAAAAGAACTCGTGTGAGTTTGTGTTTGTGACTGGTGTTTTGTTTTAATGAAGAATCGTTTGAGGAACAGTTCTCTTTTAAAAAGGAGAAATACTTCCTGAAAAAGTGAAGTCCAATCCACAGCAAATAACTGTACAGTAAACTGTTTTACATGACATTTTATTGATATCATACAACAGCAACGATGATGCGCTTTTTTATTTCATTCATTTGTGAGATCATACTGCAAACAACCAGGAAACATACATCATTTCATGTTATTACATTTATCCATTCCATAAATCTACCCCACACACTGACATACAATTGCATGTCAGTGCAAGTTGTATTTGACTTATATTCTGTTTTTTTCACAGAACATAAGTCAAATACAAAACACAATAAGTCAAATGTGGTACAATGCAACACTTTTGACTAGTTTTGATTTTACAGATCTGTGGTTTCCAGCTAAATTTATCATCCAACATGGCACCTAAAAATCTGAACTCAGGGACTCGTCCTAAAACAACACTGTCAATGGTTATTTTGATTGCATTATTTTCTTGTTTGTTGAGGTTTCTAAAATCTCATGAATTTCATGATAATTTATTGTTTTTGAACCAATGTTTTAGTTTTTTTCATTTCTGCAGAGACCGCCTCTGAGAGTTGTTGGATGTTTTCTCCAGCACAGACAATACTAAGTATCACCTTCAAATATAAGATATTTTAGCAGGTTTGATACTTTGAGTGTGTCATTTATATACAAATAAGTAATTTGTGACTCAACACTGGCCCCTGCAGGAACCCACAAGTTATGATGTTTAATAAATCTGATTCTGATTACTTCTATAAACTGTTTCCTTTGTCCAATGTATCTTCTACGGTAGTTTAATTCTACCCCACTAATTCTAAACCTTTTTTAGTAAAACGTCATGATTGATGGTGTCAAAAAGTTTCTTGAGATCAAGAAATAAACCAATTGCAAATTTCCTTTATGCATACTGTCTATGATTTCTTCTGTTAACTGCATCAATGCCACTGATGTTGGTTTCTCTGAAGCCACAGTCAGTCAGTTTACTTTTTTATCACATAGATAACTTTTTTACTAAACACTTATTATAGTATTTTAGGGACATATGTCTATTGTATAATTATTAAAAAATATTGACAGATTTAAACAAAGCAATGACTTTTGCGATTTTCATAGTATTTGGAAATGCTCCAATTATGAATGAGTCATGTTAATTCCATTCTGGTCCATTGATTTTTTATTCTTATATTGATAAATTATTTCAATAATTTATTTTTTTATCTATATGATTCAAGTACATCATCCTCCACCATTACAAAATATTCATCCAGGGTTTTGTCAAAAATAATTTAATTATTAAGGGCGAGTAGTATTGGAAGAATTCTTTCTTATGAAAGACATATTCCCTAATGTTTTACGAAGCCTAAAGAAGGTTAATAATCCTTCTTACATTTTCTCATAATAGTTAATTTATTTTTATGGGTTTTATGTTTTTACTCAGCTTCAAAAGTTCTATATTTTATAAATTCTTTATGTAGATTATTCTTTTTCTTACATGCATTTTGTAATCCTTTACTAACCCACGGTTTGTCTTTGTGTTTTTGCCTATAATTAAAAAGGACAGTTGGACAGTTTTTATTGTGCAGTGATTGAAATATTTTTGAGAAATAGCTCGAAAGCTTTATCAATATTGTGCTTTACAATCACAAAACTTTACAGTTCTGTGTTTCCGAATAACACAACGGATTTAGACAGTGTTGATTTAGAACCCAATCACATTTTTAGATGTCATGTTGAATGACACATTTATCTGGAAACCACAGATCTGATGTTATTCTTTAGTATATGATGTTTGTGCCCTAAATGTACTTTCTGCAGATCCCTTCACGAATCACAAACACTGACAGATGAACACATTTATAAGAATTTACTTTCCATATAATTAGTAAATATATTGTCAACCAGAGTTTAATTGAATTTATTTCTTTATTTCATTAATATACTTATTAACTTATTAATCTTTTTTTTCATTTATTCTACATAACCACTCGTTTATTTTATGATTTAATTATCCATTCATTCAATCACTTTCTTGTTTATTCTCTGTATCATTTGCTTATGTATTAATTTTATTCCCTATTTATTTACTTATTCATTCTCTCGTTCACTTATTTCTTGATTTAATCAGTCATTTTTGCATTTCCCTTTTCATTCATTTATTTCGCTATTTGTTGGTTTTTGTTTATTTACTTAAAAAGTTAATATAGAATGACTGACTGACTCCAATCAGCCTGAAATAAAGCGCTCACCTGCTCTGAGAATTCAGCCACCAGTATAAAGTCCCGGTGAAACTGGGCTGCTGTGCTCCAGGGGTTGTGAGGCGGTAAAAGGCGGACAGAGAACTCCTCAGGCAGAGTGTGAACCCCCGGTTCCTCTCCTTCCTCCTCAAACCCCCCGCTGCCGGTGAAGGGCAGCAGGTCCGGTGAGCCAATCATCTTCAGTCGGTGACGGCTCAGCCCATGGAGGATCCCACCGTTGCCTTTCACCTTGAAGAAGCAGCAGTAACGTTTGGGTCAGCCACCGCCATGCCGCCTCAGCCTGGCTCTCTGTCAGTCAGTCAGCTGTTTCTGTTGGACAACATAATAACAGCCGGAGAGTAACAAACAAGCTGCACAGTTATTTTCGGCCATGGTACGACATGGATATGCCAGAAGCTGAAGCAAACGGAAACTCCGACTTATCAACTTATGAGCTGCGGTCTTTGACACGCTAAAAAAAACTTTACAGTGTGAAAATCATGCTGAAGTTAGCGTCTGAATTATAGCTTCAGCATCGGTTCTTCTGAAGGCCTTTCAAATAAAGGGCTTTTGAAGGCCTCCAGGCTAAAATAAAAACGTTAAACAGTTTGAGATTTGAGTGACAGAACCAAAAAGTTAGACCGTGCAAATAATATAATATAAAATATAATATGGCTGTGCAGTGGCGTAGTTGACAGTATTCTTGCCTTGTAGCAAGAAGGTCTTGAGTTCAAATCCCTACCAGGGCAGGTTCTTTCTGCATGGAGTCTACATGTTCTCCCTGTGCATGCGTAGGTTCTCTCCAGGTACTCCGGACCCCCAACCCCTGCAGTCCACAAACATGACTGTCAGTTGATTGGTCTTTCTAAAATTTCCTTAGATGTGTGTGCATGTATATTATTGTTGTTTTTATTATTATTAGGCCCAAGCAGCAAAAGCGCTGTGAAGACATAATGTAATAGTGTTTATTATTATTATTATTATTATTATTATTATTATTATTATTATTATTATTATTATTATTATTATTATTATTATTGATCTTTTCATGTCTGAGTCCTCTCTGGATACTCCAAACATGTTTGGTCAACTGGCCACTCTAAATTCCCTTGTGGTGTGAGTGCAGGGTGTATATATGTTTGGTGTGTTGCCATGTAATACAATGGCAAACTCAATACCTTTGTGGTCTACTGTACAGTCTTTGCAAGTATGATCATCTTCTGCATGCATTTGACACTGAACATTGTTGAAATTTTGTGGTGAGTCACTAATAACATAATGACAATGGTCCCAAGATAGATCCTTGTGGAACCATGTGATAGTTTTGAAAAGTTTTCTTGTAGTATGAACTTTAACACACTGCTCTTGCTTTTTCAAATATGAACTAAACCAATAAGAGCTTGTTGTGAAATAATTCACTTTTTAAAGTTTATTTAAAACAACGTTGTGACTAAAAGTTTTGTTCATTCCAGGTTTTATACATTTAAGCGTTGACATCTGAAAAGGGTGATTCTTACCTTTTTCAACCTTACGTATTGAACATCAATGGAGTAAATGTTTAGGGGAAAAAATATGTAATAGTTCTTCACTAAAGCGGAAGCTTAAATCAAATACCAACTTCAGTGTCGTAGATTAGCTAGTTCCCTGTGGCTGCAGTCATGAGGCTTCCTACACAAACTTCGTCCCGGGATTTCTGTTCCTCTTTCGCTTCTGTTTCGAGGTAGCAAGCTTTCACACCCAAAGGAATGAAAACATGTGATGGACTGGCCTTGCGTCAAGTCGCATAAGTGAAAAAAAGAAATGTTTCCGCTTTTTCACTTTCAAAGCAAACAAGCCTCCTTAAAAAGAAAAAAGAAAACAGTCTGGAAACATAGCTTAGAGATTTTATAACTGCTCTGTTTACGGCACATTATGAAAACACATTAACAGCGGTGTTCATTTCATGTTTTCACCTTCTTTTCAACTCCGTTCTAAGTCAGTTATGATTAAACTGATATCAATCATGTACAATCATTAGGAGTAATATGTAGCAGCCAAATAAGTTGAAAAAATGTTTTCAAGCTAAGAAAAATAACGTTCAACCTGCACTAAAGAATATGCGGATTCATTTAAATAAAAATACAAAATATTACATTTTACAGAGAGCCTGCAAAACGGAGTAAAGAAAACGACATATATATTTTTTCATTGATAAATAATCTTCCCATTACTTTGTGTAGTAGAGCCTGCAGCCACAGTCTGAGTTCACATTCAAATTTATGGACATGTTTATTGCACAAATAACATCCTGATGACAGTCACATGTTAGGCTGCTATACTACTGCTTTCTTTAAAAGAACAGGTCCTTCCTGTTCTGCATCGTGATTGGTTGTTGTTAACTGATCCAACTCTTTGAAAGCCTCCCTTCCTTGAGCTGTGGAACCTCTTACATCTTTGTTCATTATTGTCTTGCTCATAAACTAAGGCTGTCACTAAGCAACAGCTTAGTTATTACCCATTTCATTTTTTGTATGATTCTGAGGCTATAAACAGAAGTTAATATTCAACCACCTTTATTGGTACATCGGTTTATACAAATATGTGTGAAAGACCTTTCTATTTCTCTGAAGTGTAAATATGACTTAGCTCCTATTTACCTTAGGCTGAATGATGACTGAAGTTTATCTTTGCACAGTGAGGAGGATGTTAAAGGCTTAAAACATCACAAAATCTACCTGCTGGAGAACTTCAATGTTCCCAAGTCCATCATACACCATAGATGCCATCTACTTACTGTTTTTTGGGAGAGACAAGAGAGAAAAAAAACTTTTTTCTCGCTGTAGTTCCTCTCATCATGTCACCACTTGTGTCTTCTGGTTCTTATTCTAGACATTTATACTTCTTAAACAAACCACTTATAACACTAAGTTTATGAAGCTCTGCATACATTACATCCTCATTTAAGTTTCCCTCTATGCTTTACCTTAATGTCAGATGTATGGCTCCTCCTCCTGGCTCAGTTGGTAATCTTAACAGCAGAAATTCAGTTATGGCTTAAATTAAGTGGAAGTTTTTTTTTTTAAATGGGTTTATGACAGAACTATGATTAGAATTGTTTCATTTCTAGATATTAAAATTTCAAATCATAATTTTTAACTGGTGTAAAAGTATTAACTTACTGTAAATAGATACTTTAAGATCAGATAAAATCCATGAACCTGGTGAGAAATTCATAAGCTACAGGACTACTTGTCTTTAAATACTGCATAAACTTATAACAGTTTTTCATTCTAATGACAGTTGCAAGGCAAGGCAAGGCAAGGCAAG